GATATATGCAAGACTAGAGTTATCTCAGATTATCAGGATATCTTTCAGGACATACCTAGGTTGCCTCCTGTGAGAGAGGTTGAGTTTTGTATTGAGTTGTAGCTGGGCACAGCCCCGATATCCCGAGCACCCTATCGTTTGGCACCTGCTGAGATAAGGGAGCTACAGACCTAGTTGGATGAGTTGTTAGCTTAGGGCTATTCGTCGGAGTCATTCTCCATGGGGAGCACCGGTCCTCTTCATGAAGAAGAAGGATGGTAGTATGCAATTATGTATCGACTACCGTGAGTTGAACAAAACACTATCCGGAGTAGATACCCTTTGCCTCGGATTGATGACTTATTCAATTAGCTGTAGTGAGTGTAATATTTCTCGAAGATTGATCTTCGTTCTGGTTATTATCAGCTACGGGTTCGGGAGATTGATATTCCCAAGACCGCCTTTCTGACTTGATATGGGTCCTTCTAGTTTTTGATCATGCCATTTAGGTTGACCAATACATCCACGGTATTCATGGATTTTATGAACCGGGTCTTTCGTCCATATTTGGACCAATTCGTGATTGTATTTATCGATGATATTCTTATCTATTCGAGATCGGAGTCAAAGCACGAGCAGCATCTACGTTTGGCATTGCAGACTTTGAGGGAGCATCAGCTATATGCTAAGTTTATTAAGTGAGAGTTTTGGATTTCTGAGATCAGGTTTCTTGGTCATATTGTTAGCAGAGAGGGCATAGTAGTGGACCTAGCTAAGGTTTCAGCAGTGCTTGATTGGGAACCGTCGAAGACGGTTACCGAGATTCGTAGCTTTTTGGGGTTAGCTGGCTATTACAGGAAATTCATTCAGGACTTCTCGAAGATTGCGATGCTACTTACACGCCTTACGAAGAAGGATGTATAGTTTACTTGGAGCACAGAGTGTCAGAAGGCCTTTGATACCTTAAAGGCTAAGTTGTCCTTATTATTCCGAGTAGTGATAAAACATTTGTCGTATACACGGATGCGTCGTTAGCAGGTTTGGGAGGTGTTCTGATGTAGACTCAAAAAGTAGTAGCATACATCTCACGACAGCTAAGGGTACATGAGCAGAACTACCCCACTCATGATTTGGAGTTAGCAGCGGTAGTATTCACACTGAAGGCGTAAATAAACTATTTGTATGGAGTTTAGTTTGAGCTATTCACAGATCACCAGAGTCTGAAGTACCTATTCTCCCAGAAGGAACTCAATCAGAGATAGTGGCGATGGATTGAGTTCATTAAGGACTACGAGTTCGCAATTTAGTATCACCCGGGGAAGGCGAACGTCGTAGCAGATGCTTTGAGTAGGAAGCGTCGACATCAGGTTGTGGCCTTGAGGTGCTCGTTGTATCGGGATCTTCTCACTCTTAGCTAGTTTGATTTTAGGCTAGAGATTAGTGGGACCAACACATACTTGGGAGCTATATCAATACAGCTATCTTGGAGGGATAGAGTAGTCAGAGCTCAGTTAGAGGACTATTGGATTCAAATCTGGAAGGAGGAAATTTCCAAAGAGCCCAAGGACGATTGGACCACTGGAGCAGATGGAGGTCTTCGAATGAAGGGTCGATTGGTTATGCTAGCTAGTGTAGAGCTGAAGAAGGAGTTGTTTGATGAAGCACTTCGTACCCAATATTCAGTGTATCCAGGAACCACTAAGATGTACAAGAACTTGACGAGACACTTTTGGTGGAGTGGTATGCGTAGGGAGATTACATAATATGTGGCTAAGTACTTCACCTGCCAACAAGTGAAGGCAGAACACCAGAGACCAGCAGGGATACTTTAGCCTTTACCCATCCCAGAATGGAAGTGGGCAGACATTTCTATGGACTTCATTATAGTGTTGCCGAAGTCAAAGAAGGGAAACGATTCAGTTTGGGTGATAGTGGATCGGTTGTCGAAGTCAGCACATTTTATTCCAGTGAGGACTACTGATACCGCCGAGACATATGCGAGGATATTTATCTGAGAGATAGTTTGAGTTCACGGAGTTCCAGATACGATTTTATCAGATCGAGGCTCAATTTTCACCTCGCACTTTTGGAGGAGTTGTTGGCCTCTTTGTTTTGATGATGTTTAACAAACAATTTATTACTAATGTTGTTTGTCTAGTGTTTGTGGTTTTCTATTTATTGTAGACAAACAACGTGTTGGAGGATGGATGGAATCGAGCATTCACGATCATATCCAATGGAGGTTGGCGGTATTATGGAGTAAAGCAATGTTCATTCAAGCTAAAGATACAAGTTCAAACTTCATCCGCAAAGTGTACCAAGTCAAGCTTATTAAAGATCAAGATCACAAGCTTGGCTATAATTAGTTTAGGAGTTTATATTATGTGTGTTAAGTACTTTAAGCTCAATATCATATACACACACATTTTATTGGTTTCTATGGTAGATTATATACTATATTAAATATATATATATTATATATATATATATATATATTATTTAGTATTATATATATATATAAATATTATATATTATAGTGTGAAAACTTCGCTGTCAACTTAACCAGTGGATAGGCGAATAGTGTGGTCCACCAAGTTTTTAAACCACTCATGTTGCCTAGTGAATCCTGTATTTAATATAAAGATGTAATTTATATTAATAAATTTGCTGTGGCTAGGTCAACTTTGTGTGACATCGAATCTTAAGTTGATAGGAGTCTTGCCTCTCTCTCTCTCTATATTATATATATATATTGTATATATTAATATTTAAATATGATTATATTATAATAATAATATAATATATATATATTAATATATATAATATATTATAATATAATAATATATATATATATACACACACATTTTGGCTTTTTGTTTATCCACAAACAAAGTTTTTACTAGCATACAAATAAATATTTATATTCATACATGTTTGTTTTTACGTGGATAAATTGGTTTGGTTTAATTTTATAGATATGAAACAAATATATATTCATATTCATACTCATATGTTTCATATTCTATTGTATTAGTGAAAATACTATATTTATTGTTTATAGACTTCATAACAACAGTTTACATCTTTCTTCAACTCTATAAAATCATTTTGTATTGTTTCAAAACATAGTTAAGCTAAAATATCAAAACTCATATGTTCACATTTTTATGTTTTGGACTATTTTACAAAATGATGATATTTTTTATTTGGTAGTTCCTTTCTAAAAACCAGTTTTTGTAGCATGTGTATTATCATGTCTATAATCATTTTCTAAAGTTTTACATTTTTTAGAATTTATTTGATATTTTTAAATAAGGTTTTAAAATCAAAAATCTGCTTTAAAAAACTGTCATTTTCATATATCAGTTTGCGGTCGACCGCCTGTTCGCTGGAAAATTCGTTGCTTTCTTTGTTATTGATTCCATTGTCATCTTAAGTTACAACTTTTTGAGTTACTAAAAGACTCCGGTCTTTCTATAAGATCCTCGCGTTACAACGTAAAATCATAATAAAATTTAACAACAGATTTACAATTTTTCTCCTTACTGATTCAGAACGAAATCGCGAAGCTCCTGTTTTT